CGTTGATTGAGAAGGTTGTTCGCCGGATTCGTTCCCATCTTGAGGAGAAGAAGAAGTCGAGAAAAGATGAATCAGAGATGGGTTAGAATGTAACCTTTGTTTAGGTCTGGCGAGATGAAGAGCCATGGAAGCTGATCTCGGCGGCTCGTTAAAGCTCTTTAGGGTTTTAGTCAAGTGGAGACGAAGAACGTAAAAAGATGGAAAATGATGGGGACACAGTCCGGTTAACTATAAACCGGAATTAGATCACGCGGATTATGAAATCCGGGTTAGATTTCTCGGTTTATTTGCTTTCGGTAAAAGTAAAACTCTGATTTTTAAAACCATTCATCATTACTACTGACTTCAGAAAACTAAACTCCTACGTTAGTGAGGTCACAGGGTCTGGTTCTTATGCACTTTTGATTCTTTTGAACAATATAAAATTAGATTACACGACTAGTAATTTTTTTTTTCTTTTGCTTACCATACGACTAGTAATACATTTAGCCGATGTTTTTGCATTATGGATTAAAATTCGTTTTTTGTTCATGTGGATATGAAAAAACAAAACAAAATACAGGATGTGTATATTTTTGCACGAGCACATTAATGTCACGACGCGTGTTATTTACACTTTGGTGTTAAATACAAACAACACAACTGACTCGTGTCTAAAACTCATTCAAATCCTATTTTGTATGGTCTTTTCTTTTTTGCAGCTTAATATTTAAGAAAAATACTATAGTGTATATTCAAACTACTTGATGGTTTAATGTTTTTTTATAAAATGAATTGTTTTACATTTTTTTTTCTTGATGGTTTAATGTTTTTTATAAAATGAATTGTTTTACATTTTCATATATTTGGAGGGGACGATTTATATAGTTTTTTTTTTTAATTAAACTATCATATTTGGAGGGGACGATTATATATAGTTTATTTTTTAATTAAACTACCATAGATTCCGACAGTCGTATATTTCCATACTTCAAGACCATAAATAAGGAGTTGACCTGACCATGAAATTGAATAAGATGGCAAAATTAGTAAATCCAAAAAAATAAAGTTTCTTGCAAATTGCAATACACTTCTTGGTTGTATTTATGCTAAAAGATGAATAAATATGAAGTCTATAGACTTATAACATAGATAAAATGTCCCATGTTTTGTATAATCTAACGTACTTTTCTTTTTCTACCATGCCATTTTTTGGTTCAAAGTCACGTTCCCATAGTATTCAAAAGTCACGTAATCTCCAAACTAAAAAATATATATATTTCTAAAATTAAAATGTTCAAGAACTTTCATCAGTCGATTTGCGCGTGTAAACCCTACTTCTCTCTTACTATTCCACTTATTCGGAAAAAAAAACGTTGCCATATGTCACGTATGTAATGTAACTTGAGAGGGTCCCACTTATCAAGAAAAGAAAAATAAAAATTAGTTCCAATCTAACTGTGCAATAAAACTTCAATATATATACAAATCCAACCATTAACTTTGCCACAGAGATTTCTTCCTCTCTACTTTTTCGCCACCA